AGACAGACTGATGGAACGGTACTGTCTCCATTAGTACAATAAACGCGCTTCAATGCACAAAGTTACGTCTGGATCGATTTTTTTCAAATTTTAGCAGCAAGTGCGCTCTGATAATAAAAACATCTGGAAAATCGATTAATAGCGTTTTTTTTTCAAATTTAGGCGGTTCAAAAATGCGCTCTAATGAGAAAAAATCAGGTGAATCGAATTTTTAGGAAATTGAGAGCTCAAAAAGACAGTAAACGATGGTTTTCGTGAACAAATAGAGAGCAAAATGGACAAACAGGAAGCGAACCGCGATTTTCTTTTCGTTTGGTCACTTTTTGAGAAAAAAATTTTGGGAAAATTCGAGAAAAATTGGCAATTTTTCTGGAATTTTCTATGAAAATTTTTGAAAAAAAGTAAAATTTTCGAATTTCCTGATAAAAAATGCAGAAAAATCGATAAAAATTAGAAGTTTTTCTGGAATTTTCTACGAAATTTTTTGAAATTTTTCGAATTTTTCACAAAAAACATCCGTAATTTCTGTCGGAAATTCTCAAAAAGTTCGAAAATTTGGAAATTTTTTTTCGGAAATTCAAAAAATTTCGGCAGGAAATATTCAAATTTTTCAGTCAAAAAGGAACTTTTATTCATTGAAAAATCAATTTTTGTCGAAAAATTTAAACATTTTCAGTAGAAAATTCGGATTTTTCGGGCGAAAATATGCTAGTTTCAAGTTTGAAAATTCTCATTTTTTGGGGTCAAATTTTACAATCAACGTTTCTAATTTTGACCAGAAATTAAAAAAAAGATATTATGCTTGTCTGAGAAAAAAAAGGTTAGAGAGTATTTTTTGCAGTCTGAATACGGTAGCGATATCGAAGCGGAGAGCCTAAATAGCACACATAAGGTGGAGACACAGACACTTTTTCTCTGCGTCTCAACCTTTTTTTTCTCAGACAAGGATAATAAAAGAATTTTTTAGAAAACTTTCTTTTTCAATTTTTGCGAAATTTTCAGAGTAAAAATAGCAAATTTTCCGCTCTATCCAACGCACTGATTTTCAAAAATTGTACTTTATTTACTCAACAAAAAAAACGGGGAAAAAATGTCTTAAATCACTGTTCGAAAGCTTAGCAAACACTGGGGAAAAGTGGAAGCAAAGATGATGAAAATGACAAATTTTTCTTTATTTTTTCACAAAAAATCACAGAAAAATCAAAGGATTTCATCAGAAGAATCGATTCTTCAGGTGTGGTTGTGTCGTCGTTGGTCTCTCGTCGGAACCGCATTCATTTCTCTGCGTCTCCACTGATTCCTGTACTCTCTCGCTCTCTTTCCGATGGAAACATCCTTTATTATTGTTGTGTTGTTCCCCTTTTTTTCTATGCCTATGGGGAACAGAAAGAAGAATTTCTACTTTTTTAGAAAGAAAAAAAAACATTGAAAGAACCCTGATAAATGGGCGAAAAACTGCAAAAATTTTTTTAAAAATTGAACTACAGTACACATTTTTTAAAGGCGCATACACAAAAATTGTAAATTGAATTTCACCACGAAAACGGTTTTTAGTTGTTTTTAAGCGTTTTTTTAGTAAAATTTCGACGGTTTTCGAACAAAATTTGAAGATTTTGACTGAATTCAAGCTAAAAATATCTAAAAATTAGCTGAAAAAAAAGCATAAAATTAAAAAAAAATTGACTACAGTACACATTTCTTAAAGGCGCATACACAAAAACTGTCAATCGGGTCTCACCACGACAAGCGTTTTTAGCTGTCTTAGGCGTTTTTAATTCAATTTTTCACGATTTTCAAGCAAAATTTAAAGGTTCCGACTAACTTTCATTTAAAAAATAACAGTAAATTCTCTGGAAGTCGTCTGAAATATTTAGAAAAAAATTTTAAAAACAGACTACTGTACACATTTTTAAATGCGCATACACGAAATGTCGTTTTAGCTGTTTCTGGGCTTTTTTTAAGTGGATTTTTGAGAATTTTCGAAGAAAAAAACTTCAAAATGCTTTTTTTCAGATTTTCCAGGAAAAAAATTCGCCAAAATTAAAATTTACCCTAATTTTTGAATTTGGCCCCAATTTTCCATGTTCTGCAAGTTTTAGATGCTCTGAATGTGTCTAAAAATGTATATACAGTCCTAAAACTAAAAAATTGTATATATTTTCATTTTTTTGTATATATTTTTATTTTCATTTTTGTTTGACAGAAAAAACAAAATATGGGTTAGTCATCTTACACTCTTATCGCATTTTCAGCACTTTTTCTATCTATTTTATTTTTGAGTCAAATTCTTCAAAAAATTCTTTATTTTCCTTTTTTTTTCCTTTGAAAATCCATTTTTCGGACGAAGATCTCCCCAACACTTACAAAACCCAATTTCAAATCCCTTCCCATTCCCTCCAATTTCAAAAGTACACTTGCACCACACCCCCCGCGCAAGTGCACACAGCTAGTGTCTGCCGTCTCTTGCTTCCGCACACTCTCTCGTCGCGAAATTTTCAAGAGCTTCTCTCGAGAGTTTCCGCCGGATTTATCAAGCATTTTATCACAATTTTTGGGATTTTTATCAACTTTTTCATTAATTTTTTGTTTTTTTCTGAATAAATAAAACATTTTTATCGATTTTTCCCTGTTTTCCGGTGCATTCAGGTCTTTCGCGGCTGCCGATGCACATTTCTTTCTTTTCACACGTTTGTTTCCCATTTTTTCCCGCTGTAAATGGAAAAAGGGACTTTTTCTAGCTTCTCTGCGTCTCCGAAAAATGGAAGAAAAAAGAAAATTGGAGAAAAAAGAAGAAGAAGAAGACACAATAATCTTGCTTTAATCCAACACACACACATGCAACAACTCTAGAGAATTTTTCCATCTTTTTATATTGAAATTCTATAAATTTTATTCTTTTTTCCGAAAATTTTCGGAAAAAAAATAGAAAAATTGAATGAATTAAAAAAATTTTCAAAAAAAATTTTTTTTGCTAAAAATAGAAATTTTGCCTTGATTAGCTTTTTTTTTCCCGGAATTTCGCAAGATCTCATGACTATAAATGAGGGAAAAAAAGAAAAGATTTCAGGAAAATGTTTTTTCCAGTTTTGCCTTTTCCTTCCGTCATAAATCCACATCTCCCATCCATCAATCACCTAAAAAGCTCTCTTCAAAAATCCAATTTCCTGTCCGTCAAAAATCTGAAAAAATTGTTAATTTCCGCTTTTTTCGAGTTTTTCCATAGCTTTTTCATGAATTTTGACCAAAAAATCGAGATTTTCGGTAATTTTTAGCTTAAAAATCGGCTACAGTAATCTTAAAGGCGCATGCCCCTATTTTGTCATTAGAGTCTCGACACGAAAGGATTTTTACGAATTTTAAGCGTTTTTTGGCTGAAGTTTAGCTATTTTCTCCAATTTTCGATAGTTAATTCAAGATTTTAAGCCAAGAATAGCGAAAAACCATGAAAATTTCAAGTTTTTTAAGCCGAAAATCGATAAAATCACCAAAAGTTGTACTACAGTAATCTTAAAGGCGCATAGTCAAAATTTGTCATTTGAGTCTCGTCACGAAGTGTGAGAAACAATTATTTGCGTATTTTCACTATGTTTTTAGCTTTTTTACATGAATTTCTGATATTTTCAATGACATTTCAGCTTTAAATCATCATTTTTAGCTGTAAATTAGAAATTTTCAGGCCGAAAATCCATAAAAACGCCGAAACTTTTACTACCGTAATCTGAAAGGCGCATACATCAATTTTGTCATTCGATCAACGCCACGAAAGTTTAAACTTTTTTATTTTTGATCTAAATAAGTGCCTTTTTGTTCATTTTTCGTCGTTTTTTCTGGATTTTTTCCTAAATAAATGCTTTTTCTTCATTTTTCCCTATTTTCTCTCGAATTTTCCCCTAAAAATTGCAAATTTTCAGCAAGTTCTCAGCTGTCCGCTCACACAGCGGGGCTCCCCTTGGGTGTCATCTGAATCCGAATCATTCCACACACACACACACGTCATCTGAAAAATGTGTAAACGAATTTCGGCACTTTTGCCGGCGGCCATCGCCTGGATACTGATTATTGGATGTTCGGCGTCGTTCTTCTATTTCATCGCGCCGCAAATTTGGATTAAATGGGATATGTTAGTGGAAAATAGACCGATTTTTAGCTGAAAATCACTCTGAAAATAGCCGAAAAATCATGATTTTTGACCTGAAAAATCGTCAGAAATTGAAATTTTTTTTTGGAAATTCCGCTTTTTTTCGGCTAGAAATGGCTGAAAATGGCCGAAAAATTACGATTTTTACCCGCTAAAATTCAAATTTCCCGCCAATAACCCCATAAAAATCGAATTTTCAGCCTCGGCCCCCTGCTAATCATCTTTGACGGACTTCTATTTCTGATGGTCGCCTCAAATCTGCTGATGGCAATGCTGCTGGACCCCGCTGTTCATCCATATGGTACATTTATACATGGAAAATAGCGGAAAAATCTGAAAAATTTAGCTGAAAATGAACCAAACCATTTTTCACGCAAATTTCGACTTTTTTAGGTCAAAATTGAATCGAAAATCTTAAAAAATGGTTGAAAATGACCGAAAATAATCAATTTTTTGCTCGAAAATTCTAAAAATCGCCTAAAAATGACCCAAAAAAGTCAATTTTCAGGTCAAAAATCCCAAAAAATGATTGAAAATTTCCTCAAAAAAGCCGATTTTATGTTGAAAATAGAGTCAAAAATCATAAAAATCTGCCAGAAATTACTCCAAAAACTCAATTTTTAGGCCGAAAATTGGTCAGAAATCATCAAAATTGGTTTAAAAATGACCCAAAATGTCAATTTTCAGGTCAAAAAACTGTCGAAAATCATAAAAATTTACGAATTTCAGCTCATTTTTTAGTCATGTTAGCCTGTTTTGAGCCGTTTTTGCACCATTTTTCACGCAAATTTCGACTTTTTTAGATCAAAATTGAGCCCAAATTCATAAAAAATGGTTGAAAATGACCCAAAATTGGTTTTTTCTGACTGAAAATGATTTTTTTGGATTCAAAAATTCGAATTTTCCGCCAATTTCGAGATTACTGTAGATTAATTTCGGCCGTTTTCGACCAATTTCAGCGCACTTTCAGCTCAAATTGCCAATTTCGAAGCGATTATGGACTATTTTCCACGAATTTTATGTCATTTTCAGTCTATTTCAGCTGATTTAGGTCCATTTTTATCACAAAAATAGATTTTTGAGGTCGAAAATATGTCAAAAATTGGCTTAAAATGGCCCAAAAATGGCTTAAAATGGCCCAAAAATGGCTTAAAATGACCCAAAAATGGCTTTAAATGGCTCAAAAACTTTTTAGGATTTTAGGATAGATAGAAAACCGTCAAAAATCATTAAAAAAATTGTTGAAAATGACCCAAAATTGTATTTTTCCGGCTTAAAATGACTTAAAACCACTCGATTTTCATACGTTTCGGTTCAAAAATTCGAATTTTGTCTTTTGCTAATATTTCATTCATTCAAGCCGTTTTCGACCAATATCAGCTCAATTTCAGCCAATTTTAAGAGTCGTTTATGAACTATTTTAGCTGATTCTGGACCATTTTTCTCTCGCGGAATTTCGATTTTTGGGAGTTTCAGTTCATATTGAATCATTTTTGACGGATTTTCGGTCATTTTAGTCTATTTTTGGATTTTTCTGGACCATAACTGGCCCATTTTTTCTCGCAAATTTTGAAATTCGAGCTTATTTTTAGCCAAAAAATCGATTTTTGGGTCATTTTTAGTCGGAAACCCCTTACGTTGGCAACTGCGAGTAGCACAGTGTCCGCTTGCAATTGCCCCAACATCCAATCGTAAACGGATTGAGCCGGAAGTGATTTCCCGGTCACTTGCTCATTTGTAGTTCTGCCACGTGCCACTAGAACCAAATGGAATACGGTAAGTCCGATGACAGGGACACATAGCACTGCACAAAGAGCCAAAAGGACAATTGCACAGAGGTACGGTGGCGAGAGGATATGGTCTCGGTTGGAACTGTCGCTGAAATCAATTCTAATATTTTTTGGTAGGGGGTACTGTAGGAGGGGGGGGGGCGGGGCACTTACGATCCAGACCAGACGTAGGAGAAGCACAGGGCGAAGACGTAGAGCATGTGGATGCTCAGACTGCACAGGAAGAAGAAGAAGTAGCTGAAAATTGGAACTTTTCGAAAAAAATTTTTTTTCAAATTTTCAGAAAAATCTGAAAATGCTGAAAATCAAAATTTTTGAAATTTTCGAAAAAAAAGTTATTTTCCAAATTTTCAGAAAAATCTGAAAATACTGAAAATCAATTTTTTTTCTGAAATGTTCGAAAAATTTTTTTTTCAAAATTTCAGAAAAATCTGAAAATGCTGAAAATCAAAATTTCTGAAATTTCAAAAAGCAATTTTTCAAGTTTTCAGAAAAATCTGAAATACTGAAAACCTATTTTTTTCTGAAATTTCAGAAAATCCAATTTTCTGTAAATCTCACCGATAATTCCTCTTTCCCACACAATTGTGCACCCATGGACAGTGATGATCAAACGTTTCGATGCATCTGGAAACAATAAAAATTATTCAAATTCAAAAAGTCAGCAAGTGCGCTACATTGGACTGCGTGGCTTAAAATTTGAATTCGGGCAATTTTAGGTCAATTTTGAGGCTTTAAAAGTGCCAAAAATCAGTTTTCGTGCATTTTTGGGCCCCCGAAATTGTCAAAAATGGGATTCATAGCAAATTTAGGCCATTTTGAGGTCATTTAAGACGATTTTGAGCATTAAAAAGTGCCAAAAATCAGGTTTTAGACCTATATTGATTGGTCAAAAATGGACACAAAAATACCCAAAAACAGATTTTTTTTTCAAAATTTTTAAATTTGGCGCCTCAAAATAAGCAAATTTAGTCATTTTTGAATCATTTTGAGCCCAAAAACGCGCCAAATTCGAATTTTAGGGAGTACTGTAGCTAGAAATCAAAGACTCACCGATTACAAACACTACAATGCGACGAGCGGGGTGGTCGATAGAATCGGCATGTGACACACCATTTCATGCGTACAGTAATCCCATTGATGTCCACATTCTTGTACAAAGGCGCACGTAGATCGTCCACTTGTGTCGGCTCCTCGGATCCCATTGCTGAAAATGTTTGAAAATTTTCGAAAAAATTGCAATTTTCGCCAAATTTTTCAACTGAAATTCCGCATTTTTGAACGAAAATCCAGTGATATTTACCAATTTTAAGCCCGGAAAAGTCCAATTTTGGGTCATTTTCAACCAAATTTTGAGATTTTTGACGGTTTTTTTCTATCCTAAAAAGTCGAAAGTTGCGGTGCGAAAATGGCTCTAAAATGACTAAAACATGACCCAAAATCGGGGGAATTATCGACCACCGAAATTGTTCTGAAATGAGCTAAAATAGGCTATAAATGAGTTGAAATTTATGAAAAATTGCTCTAAAAATGCTCTAAAAATGCTCAATTCGAACTAAAACTAGATTAGAAAAGTCCAGAAGATTTGGAATATCATTTTTGACGTATTTTCGACCTCAAAAATCTATTTTTGTGATAAAAATGGACCTAAATCAGCTGAAATAGACTGAAAATGACATAAAATTCGTGGAAAATAGTCCATAATCGCTTCGAAATTGGCCAATTTGAGCTGAAAGTGCGCTGAAATTGGTCGAAAACGGCCGAAATTAATCTACAGTAATCTCGAAATTGGCGGAAAATTCGAATTTTTGAATCCAAAAAATATGGAAATCGAGTGGTTTTAAGTCATTTTAAGCCCGGAAAAATCCAATTGTGGGTCATTTTCAACCATTTTTTATGAATTTGGGCTCAATTTTTTTTATGATTTTCGACAGTTTTTTTCGATTTTTATGATTTTCGACAGTTTTTTGACCTGAAAATTGACATTTTGGGTCATTTTTAAACCAATTTTGATGATTTCTGACCAATTTTCGGCCTAAAAATTGAGTTTTTGGAGTAATTTCTGGCAGATTTTTATGATTTTTGACTCAATTTTCAACCGAAAATTATGCCCTTCTAGAGGAAATTTTCAATCATTTTTTAGGATTTTTGACCTTAAAATTGACTTTTTTGGGTCATTTTCAACCGAATTTTACAATTTTTCGCTTTCAGATTCAAATCGCACGTGATGAAATTCCGAAAAGAGCGAAAAGTAGAGCAATCGCGCCTGAATCAACTGCTCCACGGTCCCATCGAAGATCGGAATGCGGTGATTGACGGTGAGAGAGACGCGACAGCAGTGCTATACGTTCCCGACGGACGACACGACGGCAAAATGGTGGCGGTGATCGAAATGGGCGGGGCTTCGAATCAGAAGAAGAATTCGACTTCGATGAGAAACAATCAATCGATAATGGAACGATCGGACAGTATTCAGGGCATTGTGGGCAGCCAATCGCAGAGCATATCGATTGGTACGGTCGATAATGATTCGAGAATCGGGCTGAGTGTGGGCGGAGTCGATGAGACGATTGCTGACGGATCGACGTGTAATCTGTTTGAGATGGATCGAGCTGGAGGAGGTGAGCGCTCGGCGGAAAATGGCCCAGAATTGAATTGAAAGGCTGAAATTCCCGTGAAAATTATGGAAAATGAGCGGTAAATCACTATTTTAGTGCTGAAAATGACGAATTAGAGGCTGAAAATGGCTATTTTAGTGCTGAAAATCATGATTTTAAAGCTAAAAATCATGGAAATCAGCTCTCAACGGCCCCTTGAAATCGATATTTCGATCATTTTCGAGGCATTTGTCTCTGTCTGTAGATCGGTTTGTCCAGATGGTTCTGGATGAGTTTAGGCCGATTTTTGATTGATTTTAGGTCACTTTCAGATTGCTGGATTAAAATGGCCTGACATGACCCTGGTGTGTTTTCTAGGCCCGTTTGAAGTGGTGGCCTAACTTTTGCAAGTTTAGTCTTCTAGGCCACCACTTCAAAATGGCCTAAAAATGCCCTAACATGGCCCTGGTATGATTTCTAGGCCATTTTAATCTTGAGTCATGGTCCATGTTCTCTCTCTCTCTCTCTCTCTCTCTCTCTCTCCCTCTCCCTCACTCTCTCTCCCTCCTTCTTTTGAATTTTTGGAATTCCCCAATGAGCGCTCAATATGTTTTTGTCTCGATTCGAACGCACAAAACAAGCACAAACACCACAAAATTAATGGCATTTTTCTCCGCTTTTTTCCGTCTAAAACGCTCCCTAACCAAGACAAATTGCTCAGCCCGACGACCTCCATTTTTGGTTGTAAAATAGCTTAAATGCCGGTCGAACATCGATTAAAACTGTCAGAAATTGCCCTAAAAACGGCTCAAAGTCTCCTTTAAAATGGAAACCTCTTGAAACCTATGCAAAATTGAGGATTGCTCGAAAAATGACCCAGAGAAAAATGGTCGAAAAATAAAGCGCAACTAAAATAATGAAAAATGGCTCGATTATGCTCAAAAATGCGCATTAAAGTCGCTCCAAAAATTGCCGAAATTTCTCCAAAATAAGGCTTCCATTTCGGTCGGTCGAAAATCGCCGACCGCCGACCGACCACCGACTCAGCGGACCGACAGCTGACCGACTTCGTGCCTTTGCGCATCAAAATACGAGTTTTTGCGTACGAAGCACTTTATTTTACGACAAACGAGGCTTTTAGTGAGTAGTTTGTCGTAAAATACAGTATATGCAAACACGTTGACGCGCAAATGCACGAAAACTGTCGGCGCGCCGACCGATCGGTCAGTTCGGTCGGCTAAATTTCCCGACCGAATGGAAGCCTTACTCCAAAAACCCCCCGAAATTTCTCTTCTCCAGGAACACCCCGACCGAACTTGTCGCTTCGAAGCAGCTCACGAATTCTGGATGAATCGATGACGACGTCGACGAATTCAGAAACGCGGCGAACAGGTCAGTCATATGAAGAAGCATTGGAAGAGGCACTTCATTCGTCACCATCCAAAGACCAAGTCGCATCACCAACGGCACGGACGTCTTCTGCCTCCAGGACACCACAGGCGGCAACGTCTCCAACGTCGCCGACGGGAGCTCCAAGTGAGTTTTCGATCGTTGGTGGCCTAACTTTCCCAAGTCGAATTTTCTAGGCCACCATGGGAAATGCTATGGAAAATTGCATTTTTGACCATTAGAAAACCCGCGAAAAGTCGAATTTTTGCCCTTTCTCCCTTTTTTTAGGAAAAAGTGCGAAAAAAGGTGAGAAAGAGTTTGAAATTGGACCCCCTTGATGAGTGACATCTACACTTTGCGTCGCCCTTTTTTTCTCCTTTTTTTTGGCTCATCAGAATATTTTAGAGATGAGCAATGGGTCGATAAACGAGCCAAAACTATATAAATGATGGTGGGGCCCCTAACTTTTGCTGAGTTTCCTAGGCCACCAAAGTTTCCTAGGCCACCAAAGTTCAATCTAGGTCATTCGACACGGTGGCCCCTAGAAATCTAAATTTCGACAAAGTTAGGCCACCAAAACGGGTGGAATGGTCTTTTTAAGACTGCGAAATCTCGTTTTTGGCCCAAGTTATGAGCAAAAGAGTTCGGTGGCCTAGAAATCCAAAAATTCGGGAAAGTTAGGCCACCAAAACTTAAGCAGGCCTAAAATGTTCGGAATTTTAAGAGAAACACCATGGTGGTCCTTAAATCGCTAAATCTCGATTTTGAGCTAAGTTATGACCGAAAGAGTTCGGTGGCCTAGAAATCCGAAATTTTGGATTTCTAGGCTACGTCCTGAAAACTCTGATTTGTCGCATTTTTAGGGTTTTTGGGGCTTCAAAACTGCCATTTTCACTGGATTTTTGGTGCAATTATCTCTCTTAATTAGGACCAATTAACCCCCTTTGTGAGTTTTACAGCATCTACCACCACGTCCACCTCCAATACAACGGCATCCGCAGTAATATTGAACGGGACGAATAGTTCAAAGCCACGTGGATTCACTGATGCCGTTCGGTTGGCTGATATGTTGGCGAGGAATCAACAACAACCTGTTTAGACTCTCTGATTTATCGATTTATTGATTTTTTTTGAATTTTTTGAAAAATTAGAAATTTTCAGAAAAATTTTTTTTTTCGAATTTTCTAAAATTTTTAAATTCTAATTTCCAGACACTTTTCAGCTAAAAACTCAAATTTTCGAAAAAATTTTTTTTCAAAATTTCAAAAAAAATGCAATTTTAGGCATTTTTCACTCCCCTTTTTTCCCGATTTTTTTCTATATCTTCTCTGATTCTCTCCTGTCTCTCTGTCTTTTTGTGTCAATCTGAAATCTCTCTTAAAATATTTTCTCTGAAATTTTCAAAAAAAATTTTTCCAATTTTTAACATTTTCCACTATTTTCTCATTTTTCCAGTGTTCCCAATGCATTTTGTTTTCCATATTTTCTGTAATTTTTTATGGCTGATTTTATTGATTTTTTACAATTTTCTAACAAACAAAAAATTTTGAAATTTTGAAAAAAAAAAAATGTTCCTCCCCCTCTTTTTCCCACGACGTTTTTATCGCTTTATCACTGGTACACTTTTCTCATTTTCCTCTGTTTTTCTGTTTCTCTGCGTCTCTCTCTCTCTCTCTTATCTACTTTGTACCCCCCCCCCCCCTGACAACTTTTCTGTACTGAAAATTATCTGAAAATTCCCGAAAAATTTGAACATTTCCCCATTTTTTTCGCTGTATTTATATATTTCTTTTTGTGATTAATTAACGAAAAATACACAATTGACTCTCTCTCTCGTTTTCTCTGCGTCTCTCCCTCTCTCTCCCCGAAGCTCCGCCCCTTTTCTGCGCACGCTGCGCTGAAGCTCCGCCCCCTTTTTTGGGACATTTTTCGCTTCTCGTTGGGGAGGAAGAAGAAGACGTTAGCTTGTTGGAAAAATGATGCAGAAATTTGTGGTTTTTGGATATTTATTGATTTTTGTATTTTTTGAACGAGGTGAGGTTTTTTTTAATTTTAAGGATTCAAACGCGCTCAGTTGAGAATTTTGTATTTCCTGACAGTTTTGAGAGAGGTTTTAAAAAGTTATTTGAAGTTTTTGAAGTTTGAAAATTTGAAATTTTTTTAATTTTCGAAAAATTTTGAAAACATCTGGTCACATCAAATTTGAAGGCGCATTACTCAAAGAATAAGATATCTATGAAAAATTTGAAAAACAACGAAATATGGGAAATTTCATGGTCTTTCAGATGCAATTTATTTCGAACTTCTAGCTTTTTCAGAACCTGAGATATTTTGAAATTTGAAAAACAACCTATTTTTAAACCCAAAAATTGGTTCGCCCACTTTAAAGGCGCATAACTCAAGGATCAGAAGAGACATGGAAAATTTGAAAATTAAGGATTTATGTGAAATTTCATGCTCTTTCAAAAACAGGTAATTTGAAACTATCAGCTTTTTTGGTTCTCGAGATATTCCAATTTTTGTGTGACCTGTTTTTTTTGAGGTCCGTCGGCGCTCCTCTCCTTCGCTCCAATGTTCAAGACGCATAACTCAACGAAAAATTTAGCTATGAAAACTTTTTAAACTACAGAAATATGTAAAATTTTATGTTCTTTCAACCACAAGTTATTTCGAATTTCTAGCATTTTTAGTTCTCGAGATATTCCGATTTTTCTAGGACCACCTCGGGAGGTCGTGCGCCCCTCACTCCGCTTTCTCAACTTTAAAGGTGCATAACTCCCCAATAACAATAGCTAGTTAACTTTTGCAAATCAAAAATTTATGTGAAATTCCAAGCTCTTCTTGATGCAATTTATTACAATCTTCTAGCATTTTTAGTTCTCAAGATATGCCACTTTTTCTATGACCTATTTTTTGCCTCCACCCTCTCCTTCCTTCCGTCTTTTCAAAGTTAAAGGCGCACAACTCCCTAATAAAAACAGCTATTCGGATTTTGAAAACTATCAAAGTGTGTGAAATTTCATGCTCTTTCAGATGCAATCGATTTCAATCACCTAGCATTTTCAGGTCTCGAATTATCACAATTTTTCAACGACCTACCTATTTTATGCCCCCTCCCTGTCTCATTAATCCCCCGCGTTTTCCTGTTTCTTTGATTGCTAATCCCAATAGAAAACATGACACCCCTCTGTGTCTGCTCAAAGTTTGTCGAATTTCAAAGAAAAATCACTGCTATTAGGACCGCCTGTTTTGCTATTAGGACCGCCTGTTTTTTATGGGCGGCTCGTTTCTTAAGATAACACTTACCTGAGAGCTTTCTAGGCTTCTCTCTCTCTCTCTCTCTCTCTCTTTGTCATTCTTTGTAAGAAAGATTCTCAATAAGAGTGACAAAGAGAGAGAGAGAGAGAGAGAGAGAGAGAGAGAGAGACCGAGAAAAAGAGCAAAAAAAAATTATTCGCCTCATTTGCTCTGTAAAACAACAATGACAACTTTGTTGTGTACTTTTACATGGTCCCGCTTTGCATAATTGACACCTTTTAGGACCCCCCTATGCGCCTTTAAAGTTGCCTAGCATAGTTTATGTTATAACTTTTGCGCGGGATCTGTTCAACTAGGCAGCTGGCTGGTTGGTGGTCTCCACAATGGGATTAAAGGGACATGGGTGGATTTACAAGGAGAGTACTTGACGGGGGGGGGGGGGGATCCTAATCGAGTTTATAATGGGATATAATTTATATAAACAAGAAGGATATTTTAATTTTTGAAAAATCGAATTGAACGAGATCCTGGAAGGAAACAGGGTTGTGCACATAAAACAGGTCCTAGAAAAATCAGTATATCTTGAGAACTAAAAGTGATATAGCTTTGAAATAAATCACATCTGAAAGAGCATGAAATTTCACACATTTTGATATTTTAATAATATTGAATAGCTCTGAGTTGTGAGGAGTTGTGCGCCTTTAACTTTGAAAAGACGGAAGGAAGGAGAGGGTGGAGGCAAAAAAATAGGTCATAGAAAAATCGGAATATCTTGAGAACTAAAAATGCTAGAAAGTTGTAATAAATTGCATTAAGAAGAGCTTGGAATTTCACATAAATGTTCAATTTGCAAAAGTTAACTAGCTATTGTTATTGGGGAGTTATGCACCTTTAAAGTTGAGAAGGCGGAGTGAGGGGCGCACGACCTCCCGAGGTGGTCCTAGAAAAATCGGAATATCTCGAGAACTAAAAATGCTAGAAATTCGAAATAACTTGTGGTTGAAAGAACATAAAATTTTACATATTTCTGTAGTTTAAAAAGTTTTCATAGCTAAATTTTTCGTTGAGTTATGCGTCTTGAACATTGGAGCGAAGAAAGAGAGGAGCGCCGACGGACCTCAAAAAAAAACAGGTCACACAAAAATTGGAATATCTCGAGAACCAAAAAAGCTGAAAGTTTGAAATTACTTTTTTTTGAAAGAGCATGAAATTTCACATAAATCCTTAATTTTCAAATTTTCCATGTCTCTTCTGATCCTTGAGTTATGCGCCTTTAAAGTGGGCGAACCTATTTTTGGGTTTAAAAATAGGTTATTTTTTATAGTTCGAGATATCTCGAGAACTGAATAAGCTAGAAGTTCGAAATAAATTGCATCTGAAAGACCATGAAATTTCAGACATTTCATCTTTTTTCCAATTTCAATAGCTCTTTTCGAAGGGGAGTTATGCGCCTTTAAATTTTGATTTGACCAGATGTTTTTAAAAATTTTCGAAAATTCAAAAATTGAAAATTTCCATATTTAAAACTTCAAAATCTTCAATTAACTCCTTAAAACCTCTCAGGAAACCCGAAATTTCTCAACAGAGCGCGTTTGAATCCTTAATATTGAGTTATGCGCCTTTAAACTTCGCGCGTGAAAGACGCAGACAAGGATATCCTCTAGCTTCTCTGCGTCTCCTCAACTTTCGTTAAAATCGGTACATTTCAATTTTCTAAACTGAAAAATAGAGATTTTATTTAGATCTTTAAAATTATATAACTTTCAAAATTTCGTAAAAAATGATTTCTCTCTGCAAAACGCGCTCTGTTGCAAATAAGTTTTTAAAGGTGGAGTCTCCCCTTTTTGGCTCATAACTTGCTTCAAACTGGTTATTTCTGAACGAGCTAAAATGCGAAATGTAGAATTTTTAGAGATCCACAAAATGATGTAAAATTCTAAAGCCCTTTTGAAAATCTGCAGAATTTTTGTCCCCAAAATTTAGAGGAACAAAAATTTGAATTTTCACTTTTCATCCTCTGGAGACGCTCTCCTTGATATGTCCTTGTCCCTCTCCTGTCACCATCTGTCCTTCTTCCCTCTGTTCAGAATATCCGGTCCCTTCAAAACGGACCCGAGGGACACGAACACTTCTTCTAGAGACTTCCCAAAAGTTTCTGCTTCCTTATATTCCCCCGGTTTTTTTGAAGAGTAGGGGGGGGGGGATAGTTTAGGTATTGAAAAGAAGAAGAAGAAGAGTTTGGCTCTTCTGAATACATAAACAAGTTTAGAAGAAGAAGAAGGACTCTTTTTAGGAGAAGAAGAAGAAGAAGTATTGAATAAGGAAATGGGATTTAGTTGAAGGAGAAGAAGAAGAAGTAGGAGATGATGATGATGATGATTGGAGGAAGGGGAAACTAGGGGGACCAGACGATAGGTAGGAAACCTCCAGAACAAAATTTCCGGCAATTGGAAGAGTTTTTGAAGATCTGAAGTTAACATTTTAGAACTTTTGAAAATGTTAATTTTGAAGAAAGTTACACCTCAAAATGTGGAGGGGGTCCTTGGCCCCCATATCCGCCCCACAAGACATTGACCGGTTGGGTTCAAAACCTTGTTAGGCAAATTTTATATCAATTTGTATATCTTGACAAGATCTATAATTTCCAATTTAGATCTTTTGAAAATCTTAGTATTGAAGCGAGTTATGTGCCTTTAAACATTGTGCATGGGGTCGAGATGTACAGTGTAGCAGGGTACGGTAACCTACCGAAACATAGTAGATTTAGCTTTACAAATTTGAAAGTTTTTTGGTGCATTAAACAAAATGAGAGCTTCATTTTTGTAGTTGAGCACTTTTTTCTAACTACAGTAGTTTTTGAGATATGCGCCTTTAAAGATGGGGTACATCTACCCCTTCTCTGAGGCTGCTAATCCAGCTGGATCTTTAAAGGCGCATACCTCCAAAATCACACTCTGCAGAGAATATGGGGAGGCAACAGGAGTGTGCAACACTTTCAAATAAACTGCGTATGCTGTATTATGCTTATCATTGATTTCACACAGATAACATCCCAAATCCTGGTGCTCTGCGCGTCTGGAAATATTCGAATTTTCAAAAATTTCTACAGTAACCCTCACCTTAAATTCAGCACCCAAATATTTGCTGACTTTTTGGAGACTTGCCATCTTGGGTCTCTTGTAAAGGTACGGTTTCCCGCAGTCAGAATGGCACCATCAGAGACACGGGTCCAGGCGATCTGAAGTTTAGAATTTCTGAATCTCTTGACAGTAACCAAGATAAATCAGGTCAAAGTTGAGCCAACGATGCGTAGCTAGGGTGCTGTAATTATTGTTTCGATCATAACTTCCTTTAAACTCAACATTTCTTTTAAACTTAAAATGGGAA